GATTGTTTGTCTGTCCCTGGCTGCCCTCTGCCCCTGTGCCATGTAGTAGTGCTGATGAGAGGTCAGCATTACATGCCCCATAGACTGGCTGCTCGATCCTCTGGCATGGGACAGCTGGGATGGAGCACCTGACTTTTCTGTCCTGTGAGGGCTTGCTAGGCTTGATCTGGAGAGCCTCCCCCCATCCTAGCCATGTGAGTGCCATGGAGCTGGTGTGTGGGGCAAGTGCATTTTAACCTGGGGGTTGTTGGGGTGGGTTTTTGCCTTTTACTTGATTTGAGATCATTCAATCAGTGCTGTTCCAACTGCTCTGTCGTGGTAGCTAATTACTGTCTTAAGGGCATGGAGAGGCTTTAGCGAGGTACTGGTGATGCTGACTGATTGCATTCTTGTCCTTTCCCGTGCTGATTTAAAAGACAGTGTAGAGACCTTGATTTCTTTTTGCTTCTGTTTTTCCTTTTATTTTTCTGTCATTACCTGTGCATGCTTCCCAGAATCCACCCAGCACCAGGTCCTTTGCTGGGAGCTGTGAATTGCTGGTGCTCTCTAATTTTATGTTCCAGTAAAGCAGAGAGACTGCAGTTGCAGATGATGAAAGATTCTGCAGGTTAAAAAGTTAAGTAATGAAGCAAATGGTGTCTTTCAGACAGATGGGCCCTAGTGTTGCATGTTGCCTGTTAGATTTCATTGCCAGTTCAGCTTCTTCTCTGGCTTTGCTGCTAACGGTGACCGTGTGCTGGGTAGGATAGGGATAGGAAACTGCCATGTGTAATCCCCGTGTTTCCCCAGGACAGGCTCTTCCAGAAGGTCCGGTCTCTCCTGGGAGAGTGTAGTATGTCGGCTCTTGTTGAGGATCGGTCAGAGGGAACCGCTCTGGTGCAGTAAGGAAGGAGCCTGTGTGTAGTGAGTGTTACAGCAAAATTGTGGTCTGTTTTGAATGCTGAAAATTGCAGGGCAGGGGCAATTGGTTCTGGGAGAACTGGTTTAAGAGCTTGTGTCCTCAAGAGCCCACTGACCCAAACAATGGAGGTTGTCCGTCCAGTTTGGAAGGTAGCGATAAGGTGGTGGATGGAGCACAGTAAGGAGGCAAAAACTCTGCAAAATAATGTTGTTTCTCTAGGTGCAGTGGCATGGCAGGACAGGGCATGGCATGGGTGGGATGCTGTGGAGAGCTGAGCCCCACATCAGCCCTTCTGTCAGAAGCCAGCCCTCCTACTGTGTTGCTCAGGGGATGCCTCTGCTCACACGTTGTCGATGTTACTGGGGAAGGAGAGTTCAGGGGCATGGGCAGTTGTAGCTGCAGGAGGAAGCTGAAATCTGAGTGCCACAGAAAGCACTTGCTCAGAGAGCAGCTCCTGAAAGGTTGGTTTGGGGACACAAATGCAGGGATCTGAATAGCTAATGTTTCCCTGGAATTTCTGGAAAGCAGTCAGTGAGTGAGCGATGGGGCAGGGGGTTAATTTGATGGCAAATTATCTTTATATTACAGTGGTGCAGCTCCACTGACTTCAGGTTGGTTGCAGTGGAGTAAATGAGCGAATGTAGCCTCTGGGGCTGATACAGGTAACTGCAGGAAGGGAATTTAGCAGCCTTCACTCTTCTTGTATTGACTGCCTGAGTTGCTCACTTCGTCATATTGCTTTTTTAAGACTCCAATCCCCCTAAGGTAACCAACAAAAAGAGTTTTAGATTGTGACTCCATTAGGGTTTTTTTCCACTCTAAAGGTCCAGTAAAACATTTTAAAGAAAAATAGATTGCCCTGCATGTTCACCCTTGCAATCTGAGGAGTCACATCAAGCTCCTTTGAAATAATGTACAGTCCAAATTCCTCTATCCTTGCCTGACACTAGAACTGGTGTTTTTCCAGATGCCCATGAGATTGTAAGAATCTGAATGACTATTTAAAATCTGTTTGAGAGAGTCCAACTGAAAGTCCCTTCTTTTAAGTCATTCATACTTCACTATCTTGGAATTCATGTTTTCTGGTTTAGAGACTTCTAGGAAGAACAGGTTGGACATGACCTTGAAGGAGAAATGCTTTAATCTCAAAATTAAATTCCTCTAGTTCTTTTTGTTTGATGGAAAGGTGCAGATAAAGATCTCGTGTGTTTAACGAAATGCGCTGCTCTTCCTGCGTAGTTTTCCTGAGCAAAAGTCAAAGCAGCATGTAAGGAGAGCAAAGGATGCTAACATACAGTCTTCTGTTACACAGAGAATTTGAGTTCCTTGTCATCTGTGTTGAAAGCTTTTAAACCTTCATGTTAGATGCTCTTAGTATCTTCTGCTGCTCTTTAACCTGTCCTCTGTCTAGCAGCTGCATCTTAAAGAGCAGATGAAATCGTCTCAAGGATGGCAGATCCTAATCTCGGTAACAGTTTCTATCCATTACAAAGTATGAAGTGAAATTATCTGTGAGTGGGTTTATCTCAGATCCCACGTAGCATTTTTTCTCAGCAGCAGCAAGAAAGGGAAATTATCAGGCAGTGGGGAGAAGCTGTTTATTTTTAACTTACTCTTTCTTTTTAAGTTCTATCTCATAATTAAAGGAGTTAAGGAGTGGAAGCCAATGAAATACGTAGCTAAAGGGATAAGCTGATCTCAAGTTCACTGCAGAGACTACGATAAGTAGTGGGTAACACAGTAGAGACTTCGGGGCCTCTTGTTCCTTTCCTGTTAAGGTATCAAACTGAGTTCTTAGCTGCCTTTCAAAGGAGGTGCAGGAGGGCTGATTTAAAGGATACTGGTTACAGAGCTTACTGCTGCCCTCAGAGTTTATTTCTCTTTACCATGGGTTGAGGATACCTCTGAATATCTGAAGAGATTTCTGCTCAGAGCTAGCAAGGAGGAATCCTAATTCTTTTGTGGAGAAGCATGTCCATCCATTGTCTGGGCACACCTGTATGGCATTGTGCATGGCTCTGCATAAGGGGACACAAGGAGAGTGAAGAGGAGCTCAGGGGAAGGTTCCTGGGAAGTGGGGTAGCCCTGAGTAAAATGCCTTCACCCTGAGTTACTGCTGGAGAAGCCTATTTGATTCCTCACCTTTCAAACAAGGTTTTTCCCCTGCAGCTTATTAATCTTGGTCAATTTGGCTTCCTCCAATTGACAGGAGCAAGATGCTGGATTCTTTATTGCTCAGAAGAAGGTGCATTATACTACTGTGCTCTATCCCTGGTGGATAGTTATTCCTGTGCCCTGGTGGCTTTCTTTCATCACTGCTTTTGGCTCTGTGATACTTCTTGCAGCTTTGGCACACAGGGACAAGAAGGGCAGGCTGAATTTGGAGGTGGCTGTCATTGCAGAGGGTTCTTTCTCTCTGCCAGTGGAGCTGACAAACAGCATTAGGCAATGAGTCCTGGAGAGGAGGCTGTGTGCTTTCACAACAGCAGGACACTGTCAGGCTGTTTCTTAAGTAACACTGCAGAATTAGAATCAGAATTAAAATCAATTAGGTTGGAAAAGACCTCTGAGACTGAGTCCAAATGCTTATTCCTACCCCACTTTGTCTGTGCAGTGCTGGAGGACAGCTGAGCTGCAAAGTGACTGCTGTATGACCATCTCACCTGGGAACCGCTTTTGGGACCCTTTCTTTGCCCCTAATCCTTGATTAGGTGATGCCCTGTGGCTTCTATCACCTTAGGCTCTAGCATGAATGTCCCTGTGGACCACTGCCACATGCAGAGTTTGGAGGAAACAAGCTTTTGAAGGAACCCTAAGCAAGACCAAGTTTCCTGGCATAAGGGGTGTAAGGATGGGATTCAGTCCTGTAAAGGGGCAGGAGCTGCTAGCTGCCTAAAGGGACAGTTGAGGGTAGTGTTTACATTGTTGAGAGGACAAAAGAAGCACAAGGGCTCTTCATTGTTCTAGTCACTGTTGTCTTAAATCCTCTGCAATGCTCTTCTTAGGATCTATTCTGAGTTGTGATGCCTTGGAGCAGAGTCCTTTTCCTTTGCACCTTATCATATGTGTCCTGCTGGTTGAGCCTTGTCATAAGTGGGGGCTACTGTAGTGCAAGCCTCAGATGCTGATATTCTGTTTAGCTCTCAGAGCAAATAGTAACAGCCTAGAAAGAAGTTCATGTCTTTAAGAAAATTGTTTCAAGCATGTTTGCCCAGGAGTGCTGAGCTCTATGGTTCCTTCTAGGAACATTATTGTTACTAACCATCTCACAAATGGAATATGTTAGTCCATGCAATGCTTTGAAGCTAAAAATCATCGTGGGAGTCCCTCTTGGTGTTCCCTAGCTAGGAAAATGAATAGTTCAATAGGACAGAGATGTGTAGCTATGAATTGCAAGTATAGCCTAGTGCTGGGAGCAGAGTAGGGCAGTAATAAAAACTATAGTGCTTTTGTTGCAGTGAAGGCAGATAGTAAAGTATCTCCTGGGCAGGAAGACCTGGATTTGTGTCTTCATCTCTTTCTTAAACCAGAGTCCGTACCAGGATTGGTCTTCTCCTAGTGCCTATCAGAAGCTTGTTCCCATCAGGAGAGAAGTGCAGTGTTCTGTATGGAAGCTGACCTGAGCAGATGTAGAAGCTGGTAGTTTAGCAGGTGGTGAATGGTGATTCCCAAGCCAGGAGGGGGAGGTGTGCTGGCAAAACTAGCCCTGGAAGGACCATGGGGTCAGGCGAACCCGTGTGTGTATAGTGCCTACTGTGTTGTATTTGTGTGTTAATGGGGTAATTAGCTGCATAATTTACTGAGATCATGTCTACTTCTGGTGACAGAAAACTGCTGCTGTCTTACATATAGGCTCCATGCACTATTCTCATGAATGAAGAAATTCCATGAATTTGAGGACTCTTCCTTACTGGCATTAGGAAACATTCAGTGCTCATCTCTGTGTTGTCAGTTACGAGCCAAATATTGGCTGTTAAAGCCATCTATGGTGCAAAAACAACATAGGTGCCAGAGCTGTGATCTGTGTTAGCCTTGCTCCTCCTGTGGTGAGGTATCTGTGGATGTTGACTCTTCTGTTGTATTTGGCTGTCTTTGGCAGGTTTTGGAAGTGGTGCGGTCCAACTACGACACGCTGACCCTGAAACTGCAGGACGGACTGGACCAGTATGAGCGCTACTCAGAGCAGCATAAAGAGGCTGCCTTCTTCAAGGAACTGGTAAGCTGACTTGACTCTGCAGAATCAACAACCTTCTTTCAGACCCTTTGCTTATGGCCTGGGCAGTGGCATTTGGGGTATAGCTGAGCAGCCTTCATTGGGCTGCCTCAAAAGACAGGGCAGGAGTAGGATCTGGGCAGACACTGTGTGTCTCGACAGATCTGAGAGCTTCCTGGAGCTCCCTGTGTGGCTGAAGAGGAACCTCCAGGCTGCTTAGGCCAGCACTGGTTGGTCAGTGTCTGTCCCTTTTGCCATGGCGATCCTCTGTGTTTTGTAGTGGTAAATTTGCATGGGGAGAAGCTGACTGCTCCCGCTTTGGGTTTATCACAGAGAGCAACTTCGCTTTTTTGCTGTTGTTAAGGGGAGCACAAAGTATGGGACTGAACAGAGTATGTGATGCTGGTGAAACATGTTCCTACCTGTTGCTTTCCTCCATCACTCACAAAATAGGGTTCCCAAGCAAAGATAGTGAAGGCACTCCCTAAAAACGTCTCCTTCTGCAAGAGGAGAACACTGATGGTAGGAAATCCCACAAAAGTAATAGAGCAAATACAAAACTGAGTCCAAATAATTTGGATTTGTAGTTGTATTCTTTAGCAAGCTGGCTTGCTTCCCCTGCTCCAGAGAGCCCTGATGCAACTTTTCTTGTCCAAGAGCCACATCAGCAGGGAGGCAAAGTTTTTGTAATGTCTGGTATCTGAGGGGAGCCTGTTTTTCCTCACTCTGGAATCATTACAGCTTCAGCGAAGGGAGAGATCTCTAACTGTGGCAGCTTTCTCCACCAGTTTGAGAGCTGATTCTCTCTCCCAGTTCTGTCCTTCCTGATTCATGAGTAATTGATGCCTGCCCACTCCATCACGAGTCTGCATTAGTTTGGGAATGTCGTGCATCCCTCTGTCTACTCTGCTCCAGAGCAAGCACCTGAATTGGTTTTGTTTCCTTGTATGGAATGCTTTTGGGGCCATTCCAGACATTGGGTAGTAAATGGGCAAAGCCACTTGCAATCACTTCCATGCCATTCTTCTGTGTTCTTTTGTGCCTGTTTTTGTCTCTCTAGCTTGCTGTTTAATACCTTTTCTGGAACACATGCAAAGAAATTTGGCCATAGCCTTATTGTGACACAGGCTTCCTCTATTACTGTACTGTGGAAATAAGGCACATTCCTGTTTCTGTTGTCATCTGTTCTGTCCCAAGGGCTCCCATCCTCAGCCAGCATCTCCTTCCCCAGCCTCTTGGCCACATGACTGCTCTGCTTCCTGCATGCCCCACTTTCCACTTGGCCTGGCAGAAGCTCAGGCTGATCATGCCAATTGATTAAAATGACATTCTCAGTCCTATGATCATCACAGCCACAAAACACTTCAGCTAAAATTATTTTGTTCCTAGACTGATTTTTTTTCTTGAAATCCCAATTTTGTATCATTTAAGAATAGGTTTAGCGTAACCAGCCTGTCAACTCCCTTCTGAAATTGCCCGTCCGGGTACCCCTGGGACCATCTCCTCAAGAGCATATTAAAGCCTGAATAATTACTGTATAAATGTGCTGATTTGACCCAGTTGTGAATCTGTTTAATCCACATCTCTAGATGCCCTGAGAATTGGGACCCTATTAAACGTTCTTTACTCACAGCTACAGAAAATCCCCTGCATTCCATTAAGCCATTCCCTCAACACAGCGGGAAATCAACCTGATATGTTATGATTTGTCTTCAGCAAACCCAGCTGGCCTCCTGGCCTTCTTGCTCTGTTTTTCTCTAGGTGCACAGTAACTGACTGCTTTATTAATTGTTCAAATAACTCATCAGAAAGGTCCTAATTTGCCATGTCCTCCCCATAGCCTCTTCAAACCAGGTACTTTGCTTCCTTTTTGTGAAGCTTTGGAGTCTTTACCTTGGCTTCTGTAGCTGGTCTGATGTTGGATAATGAATGCCCTGCTATGCAATGCTTTGTGTTTAACTACTGAGGTTTGAGAGATTTCATGGAGGGGCAGAGGGAAGTTGCTGCAGTTCTCTTTGTGGACTGTGATAAATAAGCAGGGCTGATAGTGAATTAAAGATTTCCATTATGGTTTCCAAGGTCATGGTTGTCCCATCAGGTCTTCCTGAACAGAATCTGTTTGCAAATAATTCTTTCCAGATTCTACCTGGTTTTCTTATCACTATCTATGTGATTGCATTAAAGCAAACCCTTCTTGGGTGGGGAATGACATGCAGGAGTCATTTTTCTTTTCAGCCACCTTTTCATCTCTCTGTGCTCCCATTAAGTGAGTGAGCAGAAGCTTCCCCATGCCATTCTCTGGGCTCCTTTATGCTTAGAAATCTTGTTCTCACTCCTTTGACCTGCTTTGCTAATGCACTGCTTCGCTTCTCTGGCTTTGCCTCAGTGCTGCTCTTTCTTGCTAATCCCAAAGAAAAATCTGCTTTCTTCTCCCATTCCCTTTACAAAGAAGCTTTCAAAGGCTGCGATACTGCAGCCACATTGTGGTGGAAGGTGATGTGCAGATTGTTTTATCAACTGGGTTTTATGGCCTGTTGTGCTGCCTTTGAGGGGCTAAAGGAAGGAAGTTAGGAAGTTTTCTAACACTTTTTATATCTTTTCCTTTGAAGCCTCAGGGATGTCATTTGAGGTCTGTGATGCTTTGATAGAATGAATGGTTTGGATGTGAGCCTTTGGACCCTTGCATTGCAGCTGAAGAAATGTGTGGAAAGAGATTCAGCATCTTTCCCTGTCTTTGCAGTTCCCTGTCTTTGCAGTTGGATAGATTTCAGTAGAGTCTCATTGTCACTTCAGTATAGTCTGATTAGGGATTGATTTCTGCTGAGGAAATTACATTAATTTGACTTTTAATTAGATGTAGCAGTCAGTGTAAACCTTCCTCCCATTGTACAAATATCTTAAGAGCTGCTTGTTGATTAGAAACAGGTTTAATTGATGAGACTTGCTGCAAAGTAGGAGTGTCTGTGCAGCTTTGCACACATCCAGCTATAATGACACAAAACTAGAACTGAATCCTGTTTTCCTCACATGGTTAATGCCGTCGCTTCATCCATTCCTTCATTCCCTCATCATCTTCCAGATGATGTCAGCATTTCATGCATTTCCCATTTCTTCAAAGGTTGTGGGCTAATAGGGAGAAAACAATTTTAAAAGCTCTTCTGGCCCTAGTGCTCCATACAGAAGCAAGAGAGGACATGTAATCTGCTTTTACTTCCCTGCAGAATGAATGTTAAAGCTCTGACCTTACTTTCTGTGGTTTTGGGGCACTTGTGTAAGTTACCCTGGAGAGATCTGGTAGCTTCCAGTCTGGCAGCCAGGCTTGGACTGCCTGCTGCACCAGTGGGCTAGGAGGAGTCCTGGAGTGTAGCCTCATGAATGAAACAGCTCAGCTAGACTACAGGAAGCTTCTAAAGTTTATCCTTGTTACAGGCTGATATTTCCCTGTGTCACTGTCTGGTCTTCCAACCCCAAAAGGGAAATGAGCTCTGGCTCCCTGTGCTGAGTCCTGGTGGTGGAGATAACTTGATTTAACTCTGATCTGAGCTATTCTTACCATTTAAGTGGGTTGGCTCAGGGCTGCCTGATTTCTCACAGCAGAAGAAATGCTGGACAGAGATTTGTAGAAACATCGGTCTTGTGTGTTGTTATCATGGCCAGTTTTCTTTCCAACTTGTGTAAAAGCAGATCTAAGTCCAGCTAGAATGGTCTTGACCAAAGTCTATGTCTAAAACTCCTCTTGAAACCCAAAGCTGTCTTTAAGTGAAAACAGCTTCACAGTAGCCACAGGTGAGCTATTCCACTCCTTCACAAACTATAGGTTTGGAAGTATTTCCTCTTTTCCTGTGTAAATCTTCTTTGTCTTAAATTAGGCTAAGTATTTCTTGCCCCATCCCCGGGGAGCCAGATAAATATTACTCACTGTTCTCTTTCTGACCTCATTTTACATATTGGAGAGTGTTTGCTCTATTCCTCCTTCTCTTTGCAAACTAATCAGGCTAATTAATTTCTTGTGCTCCACTCCATAGCTGCAATTTCTGCTAAGCCCTGTGTTCTCATCGTGCCACTCCAGCCTCCCTTCCTGGGCTTGCAGAGACACATCCTTCTTGGAGAACTTGATGTGTATACAAGCTGGGAATCTTCTGCTGCTGGTACCTGCCCCTGGCAGCAGTTCCTGAGGCCAGGGTCACATTCCTGCTTGTTCTTTATGTTGCTGGGACCCATAGAAATGCTTCTGGTCAGAATAAGGATTACACTACATGTAACACCTACCCTTTTTCTGCAGGCAGTCATGATCCCCAGGGCAGAGGACTCTGTGAATCTGGTTAGCCATGTTCTTTCCCTCTGGTGAGAACTGACTGAATCCCTGAGGTGGGAGCACTTGGTAGGACTGGGACCAAATCCTGTCAGTGAGACATATGTCTCCTGGCAGCAAGACAGCCCAGTGCAAAACAGTGTTCTGGAGACCACTTGCAGTGGTTAACATAGGCTGTAACCTGTGGTAATCTTGAAAGACATGATTCCAAACTGTTTCAGGATGGAGTAAGTCAAAAGGCACCTAGAGAAGAGAGATGAGAAGGGGGTGCTCCAAGGAACACATGGGGTCCGTGCCAAGCATCCTGATGAAGAAGAGTTTGTGGCTTCTGCAGATGACATGAAACTTAAATACTCTGTCTTTAAGCATAGACATCTTTGCTAGCATGCTCAGGTTGTTAGGATCTATGCAATGGGGCTCACTGGCATTCATTTTATAGCTTTCCCTGTTAACCTTCCATGTTTTGATTTCCTTCCCTGTCTTACACGTTTGCCTTTTGGGGAGCTTTCTGCCCTTCCCTTCTTTTTTTCTCACCAGGGCAGCAAGTGGGACCCTCAGCAGTATATATATGTGTGTGTGTGTGTGTGTGTGTGTGTGTGTATGTATATTTATGTGGTTTTCTGTCCCCAGTGTTGGATTCCTCATTCTGCTTCTCTATAATTCTTCCCCCAGTGCTTTTAAAAAGCACAAAACACTAACCAGGTCAGCAACAACCTTATTATCACAGGCTCCGAGTCTCTGGGAACTGTAATCCCGTTGTTTGGATGAGCTTGTGTCAGTTTTGTTTTCTGTCACTGCTGCACAGTCGCTGACACAGATGATGTTTGACTTTGTTTTCTCGTTGCCAAGTGCAGCTGAGAGTGAGCCCAGTCTGGGGCCTGTGTGCTCGGCCAACGAGTCTGCAGGCACGAAGGGGGAAGGGAAGTGGCTGCGCAACAGGGCTGCCCAGCTCTTCTTTGTGCTCTGTGGGTGACCAGAAGTCTGGGTGTTATTGAGGGATAAAGGTGTCTCTTCTTCAGAGACAGTCAGTGAGCCAGCTGCAAGTGTAAGACACTCACTCAGAGTACACACAGCTGGCTCTGAACCCAGGGTTTTCTGCCAGCTTGGGTGATAATCTGTGTATTCAGCTTAGTGGCATGGCCTCTGAACTTTCCTTGAGTCTGTATCTTTGGCTCTGGGTTCTGGAGCAGGAAAGAGGCCATGGCACTGCATTAATCCAGGAAAATGCTGGCTGGCACTCCAGTGGGCACTATTACCAATATGATCTTCCAGCTGCAACGTGGAAATGCTTACTTTCCTCATCCTTGCCCCAGACCAGGAAACACATCATAGCTCATGAATCCAAACAGAGCATCCTCTCCCACCCCTGTCTCACTGGGAATTTACTCTTCTTTCTGGGATGTCACTGTAGACATTCCTATTATTCCAGGAAACTGCTGAATCTCAGTGTTTTCTTGCTAACCTGGAGTCTCAGCAAGAGCTTACTGCAGCAAGTTCTGTGGAGCTGTAACTGTGCAGAACAGTTTCATGCTGAGCATGGAGGTCACTGGTATCAAAACTGCCAGGCTCATGAGGAGCCAGGAGGAGTCCCTTGGCTAAAACATCTTGTTTTGTTTCTGTCAGGTTCGGTCCATCAGCATCAATGTGAGGAAGAACCTTGCTTTCAACACGCTGAGCCAGGAACTGCTGCTAAAGGAATTCTCTACAATCTCCTGAGGCGGGGACGCTGCTGCTGCGCCGGGCAGAGATGGGCCTGTGTGGGCAGGGACACTACAGCTCTGCAGCCGGTCACCCCCTGCCTTCCGCCTGCAGAAGGGATTGTGTTTCTTTTAGGAGAAAGCCTTGCTGCTGTGTGTTTGATCCCAATGGAATGTGTTTCAACAGAACTTGGGCTGAGGAGTGGTGATTGGCATGTTGAGGAGGAAGCAATTTTTTAAGGTGATATGGGAGTGGGGAGCCGTTCCTGTGACATAGCAATGGGAGATTCCCTCCACAGACTCAGGGAAGATGCACTGGAAGAGCTGGGGAGAGCTCACAACCAAAATAATAAAACCAGCCTAGCTGTGTGAAACTGTTCTGGGTTGAGATCGCTCACCTGCTCTATGGGGAAAGCTCTCTGATCCCAGGTGTGAGCTGTTCTTTTCCATCAGCCTGAATCAACTGTAATGATATAATCAACTGCCCTCCTGTAATGTAAGTCAAATCCGCTGCCATTGCATTGGCAATGGCTTTGGAGTATAAAAATTTCCCCAAGGAGCAGGCCCTTCACTTCAACCAAGCCATCGGATTACTGGAAAAGGAGAAAGTTTGCCTCCAGGGCTGTTGGCTTGCATGGTCCTTGCTGAGCCAATATGCAAGAACATGGGTCATCAAACAGAGCACTTTGTTACTGGAACTAGCTCTGCTTGGGGTCACTGTTGCTTCCGGTAGTCCCAGCTCATCTGCTGTTTCCAAGGTTGAGGGACATTTTTAGATACTTGGTTTTCATGGGGCAGAGGACAGGCTGACTCCTTCTCCCCACTCACCTTATTGCCCATCAGAGACCGCATTGCGACAATCCTCCTCTCCCTCACAGGAACGTCTGCCTTGCACATGTTTGCAGGTACCTGGTGACCTTCATGAACGAAGAAGTCCCCATTTTTTCCCTTGTGTGTAGCACACAGTTAAAATGCAGCTGGAGAAGTAGTAACTTCGCTTTCTCACTTGCCCTCCTGTCTTCACCAAGCGACTTACAGCCACAGTCTGCTGAGGACTTCCTAAGGAAGAGCGCTGGGATGATCCTGTGGGGCACACCAGACCTTTCTGCTCCAGAGCCGGTGTTTCAGAGGTGCTTAGGCCTGGCAGAGCCTGTTTAGAGTGCTGTGTCAGGCTTCTAGCTCAGGAATACACAGCACATACACCCGTTCCTTGCTTGTGTGTTTTCTGCTCCCAGCAGTGCTGTCAGGATCTGGCCTGACTTGGTGGACTGAAGCAGAGAAGTTATTTACGTCCCAGATCCACTTTTTTTTTTTTTCTCCCTCTAGAAAACAGGTTTTTTTTAAAAAGTGCCTAGTCCTGCTCTTAGCCTTGTAGGTTAGTGTGAGTAATATGGATGTCATGCTCATTTACTACCATTTTTAGGCAAGGCTTATTCACACTAATGTGCGTTAATTGTGTTAATGTTTCATCTTTACCTGCTATGAGCACGGGTAACTGAAAGCTGTGTCCTTGGCCACCCACTGGGCATGACACCCTATGAAGTCCCTATATTTTCCTTGGGAGCACTGGCTTCTCTCAGCAGAAGATACTATGCCTCAGCAGGGAATTGTCTGGCTTTTAACAGCTAAGCCAGACACTTATTTGCTTTCTGCCATGAGAGTGTGTGGAAATGTGTACATGTCAGAGGGACATTGCTTGGGAGAGCAAGCAGGCTCCATAAAATCACTGCTTGGGAACAGGCCAGGGCATGTAGAGGAGGCAGCTTCTCCAGTGAAAAATGAGTAACAGTTGTTTGCAGCACATGATGCTTATCTGTCTGCGTGTGGGGGATCTCACCTCTGAGGGTGGGAGTTCCTTCTCAAGGGGACTGGAGGTGCAGCCCCAGCATCGCGACTGTCGGAGCATTGAGTCATCTAGCTGTCTACATGCCTCCTGTTCTCTGATCCCAGTTAGGCTGAGCCTAGTCAGATGCTTGAGAGAGTTTGGGATGTCTGCTTTTGCCTGGGCAACCTCTGGAATTTTTAGCTTCTCAGTCTGGGCTCAGCTATTAAAAGTCTTGTCTCCCTCAGGACACTTCCTTGTTGGGATGATTATAGAAGCCCAGGCTGTGACTGAGATCTGCTCCTGAGCTCAGCCCTCATCCAAGTCTCTAAGCTGGGGAAGACTGTGACACACATCCTCTTGCCATGCTGTCACCAAACCAAGCACTGTAAATGGATGTACATACAAACCTAGAGCTCAATAAATAGCAGAGCCCTGACTGTCCAGAGTGTGCAATGTTTGTCCTTCCCAGGGGGGAGAGTGGGGTGGTTGTGGGGGTGGCCCTGTCACCATTTGGTGGCACACTGGTGCAGCAGGGCTGTCACCTGCCTTTGGGCTCTTCCTGCCTGTGCAGGGGGAGGTTGTGGTGCTGCACGGCTGTGCTGCATCCTTGGTCCTGGCTGCAGGTACCAGCCAGTCGTCAGCATCCCTGTTCCTCTTATGTGTACCTGGGGCTGCCAGTAAGGAAAACATGAGCCAGGCTGAGAGCCTGTGAGCGAGGGACGCAGGGACCTGTCTGTGCACAGTGTGATGCTCTCTGCTGCTGGTGTCAGCAAACTCCTGCTCACAGATTCTGCTGCACATTTGCCTGCTTTGTTAAACACCCTGCTGCTACTTGTGTTTTGAGGCCAGCTTGAGCTGAGCAGATAGTCATTTAACTCTAACATTCAGCATCAGGATGTGGCTGATGGCCTCAAACTTTCCTGTATCTGATCTGAGCAGGTGAGTGTATTTTGTTACATCTAACTCATAACTCAATCTGTTATTGGAAGATCTGTGTCTGAGGCTTGGGAAGTGTTGGGAGATATCAGATTGCAGCCTTTAAATTAGGCAGCTGCTGCAGGGAGACAAATATTCTGCAAAATAATGACCAAATTCTGGAAGAGAAGAATTGAATTTGAGCTAAATTTTGGAGGGAGTTACTAAAAATTGGTTTGTAAGTGCCACTGTGATTTTTGGTCTCTTCTTTCTTTGCTCTTACAGGTCCCACTTTTCATGCAGACTTGAGAGAGGCAGCTCCTCAGGAGCTGAGTCTTCCCTGAATGGGCTGTCGGCTTCATGTGATGTTTTGTCTGCTCCTTGGGAGTGCCAGGAGCAGGTAGTACCAAACCCATGATCGTGTACAGCAGCTGGAGGGTAGGGTGCAACTTCACCCACCTGCTCTGTTTGGTTTGCAAACCTCTTTGTCTTCCTTTGCATGGCACAGGGACCATACCTCTGCAGGACTGAGCTGCCCTCCGTGTGAGTCCTGGTGCCTGTTGGGGTGCTTTTCTCTCCCTGTTTGAAGAATTGGACGCTCTCTGCTCTGGGGTCCTGCCAGACTGTTGCATGGTTGGTATCAGGAGGAGAATTCCTGGAGAGAGCTATTGCCTAGACAGCACTTGCACAGGGGATCAGCCCCAGTGTGCTCCACTTGCTCCCCCACACTTCCCTCCCAGGGTGGAGCTGCTGTCTTTCCCAGCTCAGTACAGGGCAGGCAGGGGGAGTTGCTATTGTTCCTGCCAAGTCACAAGTGCCATCATGTGTGTTGGGACTGGTGTGTGGCCAGCAGTCTGTGGTAAGATTTACAGCTGGCTCTTGGCACTGGAAAGCAGCTCTCCATCTTGGTGTCAGCACCAATGCCAATGTTGGTCTCTGTTACTTGTTGGGATTAGCAGAGTTGTGCTGGATGGGAGTGTGTCCCCATGGAGGTGATGGATTTTTTTGGGAGATGAGCTATTGCAGTAACCTGAAAGGAAAGAAGTAAAGCCCAGCTTTGGGAGGGGTAGAAATCCGAAGGGACCGGGATAAGATGTGTTTTTCCCTTAGTGGGAACTTACCCATGCCTTTGCTGATGCTTTCAGGAGGAGGGCAGACAGAGAAGTAAGTGATGAATGGAAGTCTAGACCAGGAGTCTGGAGAAGGGCTGTTGCAAGGTCTGTGGGACCTGGAGGGCCCTGGGGCTGCTGAGAGTCCTTCTGCTGGTCAGAGACCTGGTTCTCCCCCATCAGAGTACAGTGTGGTTGAGCTCAGTGCAACACTGATCAAGCAGAGGGGTGATCCCAAATATATCTGACAGGCAGCACCCTCAGGGGAGCATCACTGAATGCTCCTGTTGTCTTTCTAAAGCTTCTTTAGGCCACCCTGCCAGGTGCTCAGGGATGCAGACCTCAGATCTGATCCAGAGTGGCTGTCACCTCTCTGGGTTTTGACTGACTGCAAAGGTAAATGCTCAGGACAGGGCTCCACCAGACTCTGCCCTGCAGCTGCTCACACATCACTCAGGACCAGCTTGTGCCCAGATGAGCCCCTGCCTCTCCTGGACAGAAGAGGGTTTCCCTGCAGCCCCCATCACCTCAGCACACCCCAGAGGGCCAGGACAAGTACAAGGTCCTGTTGCTGTGACTCCACACTGTGCTGCCCTTTCCCAGCTCGGTAGCTGCTGGAGCACAGGCTGGGCCATGCTCTGCAGCTTCTGCTCTCCGTGCTGTCCCTCCAGGGCTAATTGAATCATGTGGCTGGAAATTGAATCCAATTGAATAGATTAAATGAGTCGGGCTTGCTGCTCACTGCAGGGCAGCTCAGAGGCTTGCCAGGCTACTGCCAGAGGCTGGGAGCTCCCAGGAGTCCCGTGGGGGCAGGAAGGGGCTGGGGAGGTGGACACCCGCTGTGCTGGGCTGCTTCTACAGCTCTGCTGTGGGAGATGAACCCTCAGTCATTTCTCAGTGATGTGCAGCCTGGCTGTGTCCCAAGGCCCACAGGTCACTACATACAGAGGTTGGGTTGGCTCGTTTCCCCTCTGAAGCAACTAATGACTAATTAGCTGGAGCTCCCCTGCTCCAGAGTTCAACCTGGGCCCTCCTGGCAGTATCCAGGGGCAAGGATGCTTTTATGACCTGTGGCTGTTCAGCAGCTCCGATCTGGTTGTTCTCCCAGCCCTACAGCAAGTGATGCTCCAGCAGAATCCATCTGTGGCACCCTGGCCCCATGCCCCGCTTTTGACCCCTCTGCTGCGACCATTGCCAGGCTGGTGGGATGGGATAGGATGGAATGGAATGGGATGGGCAGCAGAGTGCTGAGACCACAGTCACAGCAGGGACATCCCCTCACATGGAGGCGAGCTTGGGCCCAGGGCCCTGGCAGAGCAGGACGTGTGTCCGCAGTGTGGGCTCATGACAGAGATGCACACCTGTTTTCATAGCAGACCTGAGATGCTGAAAGAGCCCCTGGTGTGGCATCCAGCACGGCACAAGTGAAGGTTGGAAATAGTATCTGGTTCCTCTTTAAATTAAAGCTGAGCCCACAGGCACTGAGCACACAAACATGACATGTTTTGTAATGCTGAGAGGGCTCATGAGACTAGAGGTACATCCTGAGCCGAGGAATGCTCCAATTCAGTCTCAGCTCCCTAAACCAAGGTTTTTCTTCACACAGATTTTGCATCTGTTATGTAGAAGTGGCAAAGAAACATTCTGGGTGGGCACAGAGCCCCACACTGCCCACCCAGCAGTGGGGCTGTGCTGGGGAATCCCTCCTTGCTGGAGGCATTGGCAGAGGCAGGTGACTGGCTTTCGAGGATACAGAGTGCGATGCAAAGTTTTTTCTCCCTCCTGCACAGCCAGATTTCTCGCACCTGCTGGTTTGCATTTGACAGAGGAGGTTCCCTTCCTCCTCCTGCAGCATTCCTGCTTGCAAGGCTCTCCCAGCAGCTTGCAGCATAATCTGTTCCTCCTCTGGCCTCACAAGATTTCCAGCACCTGAAATTCCCCACAGGTTTGAATCTCACAGTGGGTCCCATCTGCTCTTGTATCTCTGCAGGGTGAGTTAATGGAGATGGGAGCAGCTTTGCCCTGTGTATGTCCTGGGTGATGTCTCCCTCAGGCATCACCTCCCCAGGACCTGCTGCTCTGCCGTAGCTGCTCCCCCAGTCCCCAGGACACCAGAGACCCCAGACTTGTCTCTCTGCAGAGGCCAAGGGGCTTGTCTTGGTCTCGTGCCACCCAGATCCATTTCCTTTGCAGATGTAGTAAATATTGTGGTTTATTCCTGAGTGAGGCTATTTGCCCTGCCTGGAGCCCTCCTCAGACACTTGTGTGGCCATGAATATCCCTGCTCCAGACTGGGGGGGCTGCGTGGGCCCTGGCAGGGGAATAGCCCCTGGTGTCAAGTTGCTCATCTCCATCTAAGGTGGCTGTTTGCTAGCATGTTTGCAAGGGGTGGAGCTGGTTTAAGGGGCTCCTGTTTCTGCCCTCTGCCCCTAGAACCAGTGCCTGGGTGCTGAGCCCCATGTCCCAGCCCAGAAGCTGCCTGGGAGCTCTCTCTGCTGGGGAAGCAGAGCTGTCCCTTGCCTCCGAGTGTAAATCTGAGCCCAGAGGCACCAGGTGACCGCAGCCAAAATAGGATTAATGGCATCTGCTGGGAGCACATCCCGAGGACTGCTATTGATGACCGTGGCTTTAAAATACTGTTAACAGTGGATAAAGCACCATGATTTAAAGCACTCAGCAATTACATCTCTGTTTGAAATTTCCTAAAGATAGGATCAGACTCCCGAGTCCTGCTCTCTGCTTTTCCGATAGAACTAATAAGAATGGAGATATGCAATTAGAGAACGCACGGGCTGGTAGGGCAGATCAATGCCTTGTGGTTACCTAATGAAGTGTTAAATTATGCCTTTCCTTCTCCCTGTCCCTCTATAACACCAGCAGCAGGCTATTTGCAAAGAGCAGAGGGCTTGGGGGAGAGGTCCCTACATTCCTGTACCCCAGCCCGGTGGGGTGCGGACCCCAGCACTCCTGCTTCCTCTCCAGGGTCGTGCTTCTGTGGATGGAAGTAGTTTGGGACTGCCTTGGGTTTTGTGTTGAGCCTGGCGTTTTCAGCAGGGCTCTGCAGGGTGTGTGGGGGCATGTGTCCCCAAAGCCAGGGAATCCCAGCAGGGAGCTGGAGGCATGGATGAGCTGAAGGGATCAGCCCCGTAATTGCAGGTGAGTGTCCTTGAGCAGGGGTGTTTGTGAGTGGGCTCAGCTCAGTCCAGCCTGGGTCTGGACGAAGCTGGTGGCAGGCTGGCACTGCTCTGCCTGCAGCCAGGCTCTGCATCCAGTGCCCCAGACAACACTGGAGCATCCCCAAACCTGTCCCCTTCCCCAGCTACTTGTGACAAGGCTGCACTGGCCGCACACTTAGATGAGGACAAGCAAGGCCCCCGGACAGAATTGCCCTGCCCCTCTCTCCCTGACTCAGAGCCA